GTAGCTATTTAGAATATCTTAATTATAAACTACGACGCTATTTAGGTAGCCTTTTAAAATATCTTAAATATAAACTACGGCGTTATTTATTTAGCTGTTTAGAATATCCTAAATATAAACTACGGCGCTACTAGTATTTTTGTAGCTATTTAGAATATCTTAATTATAAACTACGACGTTATTTAGGTAGCTATTCAGAATATCTTAATTATAAACTACGGCGCAATTTAGCTATTTCAAATATCTAACTTATGAACTACGGCGCTATTTATTTAGCTATTTAGAATATTTAATTATTAACTACAGCGCTATTTACTTAGCTATTTAAAATATCTTAATTATAAACTACGGCGTTATTTATTTAGCTATTTAGATTATTTCAATTATAAACTACGGCGTTGTTCAAGTAGCTATTTAGAGTATCTTAATTATAAACTACAGCGCTATTTATTTAGCTATTTAGATTATTTCAATTATAAACTACGGCGTTATTCAAGTAGCTATTTTGAATATCTTAATTATAAACTACGGCGTTATTTAGGTAGCTATTTAAAATATCTCAATTGTAAACTACGGCGATATTTAGGTAGCTATTTAGAATATCTCAATTATAAACTCCGGCGCTATATTAGGTTAATCTTGTTTGCCATGGAAATATTCTTTGCAACCCATATTTTTTGAAGTCGTGCCAAGGCACTGGTTGCCATTTAATACAATTCTGTTATTGATTTGTGTTTCGCTGGAAAAATCTTCTGGGATTGTTGATCCAAGATATTTGAAGCTGTGTACTTGTTTGAGTTGTTCACCATTTACCTTTGTTGATATTGTTTGGGTATTCTTATCATTTGTAACCATTGTGACCATTGTTTTACTCTTTTCAGCACTGATTTCCATACCGTAACTTCTTGACGTCTTGTCTAACCTTTCTGTTAGGTCTTCAAGATCTTTGGCATTATCTGTTATTAGGTCGATATCATCTGCAAGGCGCAAGTTGTTGATAACCAATCCTCCATTTTTTGCACCTCCATGGAACCCTTCAAGTGCATCCAACATAATTCTTTCCAAAAAAAGATTAAAAAATGAGGGTGAAAGAATGCAGCCCTGTCGAGCTCCGACGTGTTGCCCATCAATACTGTAGTCTTTGCATGCGTATACAGTTGTCATACTCGGTCGAAAGCTTTTTTGAAGTCGATGAAGTTATGGAATAGATAATATTAGTGGTTGCGATGTTTTTGACACAGTATTCTCAGATTTGTTATTTGCTCGACCGTGCTTCTGCCTTTCCTAAAGCCAGCTTGGGTATCACATTCTGATGCACTCAGAACTTCTTCAATTCTAGGTGTAATTCTGTTTTGAATTACTATGAGAAGAACCTTGCTAGCGTGACTTGTGAGGCTGATGGTGCGGTTGTCAGCACATTTCTTGCTTGTTGAATTTTTCGGGATGGGGATTAAAATTGACTCGGTCCATTGTGTTGGCCATTCTTCTTTCTTTAATATCTCGTTGCATAGGAGCAGCAAAATATCGACCATGGGCTCACCACCATTTTTTATCAGTTCGTCAGTAATGTAATTACTAGAAGAAGACAATTTTAAGTGAAATTTAACCAATATCTAAAAAATATACACAGGAGTCGAACCATGATCAAACTTGGTCGAGAACACAAACTGGTTAATGTAATATTCAATATTATACATTGAAATTAATCAAGGATGATACGGACAAGGTAAAAAAGAAACTTGTTAGATGTACTTTTCATAGTGTATCATTATAACTGAGATAAGAGAATGTCGCAATGCGTCCGTTACAGTAAAACCCAAACTGGCTTGTTATAAAATGTAGCTTTAAAATAAAGTGTCGCGATAATAACATTTTAACCAATTTCATATCAATAATTCTCTATCTTTCGATTAAGTAAATGTGTGTGTAAATGAAGAGTACAAAATCGAGCACTTTTATTTTTGGATACGCAGTCACTCAATAATATAATTTGGTAATGAAAGACTATAGCTTTTACAATTGTCCAATACATTAATTATATATATTACATTACGTTAGACAGGTAATATTTAAGAACACATGTTCTAAACTAAACGATGTATACACATGCTCGCTTTAGATAATGGGTATTCAGACATATTCAGAACTCATATGCAGGACACAGGCCGTTCACAACGACATTTACCTTCAATGTTGTTCAAGAATACCGACTTGAGTGCAGATAATCTTGAAAACAAATACACTAATACAAAGATTGCAAAAAACCGTGCAGCTTTACTGCCCCCCGTGGTGACCAAGATTTGAGTGGTGTTCTCACTAGACGAAATAAAATGTGTGTGTGAACAGAATACACAGTTGTGGCGCCGGCGTTGTTGACACCGTCCTAAAAGGGGTGGACCAGATCCCAAACGCCGTTGTCACACCGGCTCTTACACAATGGAATGTGTGTTTGAGTTTAACTCAATAAACACCGTTCAACTGATTAATTCCTGGCCACGCAAAAAAACTATTGCCAACTTTAATATTATTTTTTTTAATTCGGGGTAAATGTTTAAAAATAAATTTGAAAATAAAGTAACTTATATTTTGAACCGCAGCCTGAAGGAATTGGAGACTCGGAATCATCCGATCATAGTCAAATGCCTAGGACTACTAAGGGAAATGATTATAATAGTTTCATGGTTATGTGTTCGCGCGTTAAAGTCATCACTGTCAACATACATTGTGATGTAAATATATATTTGTGTTCTTGATCCACTAGGTACAGATTGCCGTTTTGTTCATGAAACCAATGATTTCGCCAACCGGCATCAAACTATTGATCTCCAACTATTCTGTGTATCATAAATGACGTAGATTTTGTATGGACGGTAAATGGCCACGATCTACGCTCTAAAAAAAATGCACAGTCAAGGAAATTGGGCGCAGTACGTGTTTCAGTTAAACAGCGACTCACGGGGATGATAGTGTACATAGGTAAGTTGTTGATTAAACATTTTGTTGTTATCAAATGTTTTCGTGTTCTAATTCTCTGTCACCACATTTAAAAGCAAAGAGGAATATCATTTCTATTTATTTTGAAAATATTTTCGTCTTCGCAGAACTAGATGGCATAGACACGGGTTCCAATGACGTAGGACGACTAGGAAGCAAAAACCATATTTTTCTTACACGGGAATTACTTGGCTTGCTTGTGCATGTGTGTACAAATGTTAGTTACACACTCTTCTCGTTAGTTCGTCCCCCTACGCTATGTGTATTGCTTATTTCAACTGTAATATTCACGGTATTCAAATAGGGGGTGTAGTGAGGTAATAACCGATACATCATTTACATATGACTAGTCGATGTTTCTGAATAGCAGGGATTATTTCTTTCATTTATTAAATCTGTTAAATTATAATGCCGGCGCGCCTCCCCTTAAATCCACACGTGCTTGTGATAAATGACCTGCAAATAAACCTACCAGACTTTTACTATAAGGCTCTGAATGTTTGGACAGATATACCAAGTTTCGATTACAATAATCAAATATCGAATCGCATTAACATATATTAAAAAGAAAATAAATGAGCTTTCCTTCGCGGTATTCAAAAAAGTAGCATAAATTGAAAATTATTTACCGAACATTCAAAAGCTAAGATTATCTGATCTGATCAATAAAAGTTATCAGGACACTAGATGTATCACTTAAACGGCATGAATCATGCTCTGTTGGTACCCTGGATCCCCCCCCCCCCCGCGACATATCACATACTGTACCATCAAATAAATCTTTTAGTATGATATTTATAAAAAGAGAACTTGCTTTTACTTACTTACTTTATGATCTGTCTAAATGTTACGTTTTACCATTCACGATAGTAATTGATACGAAATCTGCAGCATTTCAATTTAAAGTACTTGACAAAATGCGAAGGTAGAAAACCCAACCTGTTCATTCTGCAACACATCTAGTGAAACTATTGATCACATTTTCAATTGTTAATATGCTTGAGGTTTATTGGCCCATCTTCAATGACGTGTTTAACAACAAATAATAATCGGCAATTGTCTCTTAAACCTATTAATTCTAGGCAGACCAGAAATGTTTGGCAACGGCCGTTTATTAGTGTAACACTAATACTACAGATACTTCATTATATTATTAGACATATAAGGTGGTGTGAGTCACGTCGCAAAGCATCATGGGAACAAAAAGCGTGATCGGTTCATTTCACTCGCGGCAGCTATTGTGTACACATCGCTTCGTTGACTTCGCTTTGCTTGTTCAGGTGCGTTCTTCTCAGTTTTCGTCCAATTATGACTGCATCCTCCCGTTTTGTTAATGGTAAGTTTTCGTTTTTCCATATTTAGTGACGTTTGTATTTATATGTAGTATCGTATCGTTGTTTTTACCAACGCCACCGATCATCATTTACATTTGCTCACTGATTCAGAAGGTTGATGTGGCTGGATATCGGTAACAGTCTGCTTTGAACATGATATCAAATATATTGTTTTCAGATCAGTTATGGGAATTAAAAATCTATTTGGTGAATTACTTGGCGCTGCTAGGCCAGTTGGACTGCAAGAAAAAACACTTTCACTAGATACTAACGTTATTCTACACATAAAGGATGTTGTGGTTGTGCCACAGAGATAGTGATTGACATACCAACAGATAGGTAATACTATGCATGATTGTTGTTTTTTATTTCACCAGAAAATATACAATAAATAATATACACAATAATAATAATAGTAATTCTAGTGAGGACCACAGATATAGTTCATACAAACTAGTCTAGTCTGTGGTCCCATAATTAATTCATAGCACATTTAACTTAATTAAAGATAAATGAAAATACTTGTATACTGACTTTTAAAAATGACATGACACATTCATGAGATACAGTTTTAACGTATTTTCAAATATGTATCTGCTTTTGATAATTTTTATAGAATCAGGAAGTGAGTTCCAGTTGTTTGCTGCTATATAGGTGATACTGTGTTGATTAGTAGTAAGATTCATTCTTGGAATATAATAATTGGAACTAGTAGCTTGACAAGTTGCATAGTGAAAAAAGTTTCAAGTAGTGGTCAACATTATGGGCAAACAAATTCTTATTAAGATAAAAAACAGACAGGTGTAAAACTTACTGATTTTATACCGGTAGATATCTAAAATATTTAGTTTATTCAACAGGAGGGCAGTGGGGGCACGAAAATCTTAAAACGTTATCTGGAGTAGTAGAATTTTGTCGAAAAAGGTTTTGTATGTGTTACCCCATATTTCAATACAGTAAGTAATATGTTGTAAAATGAGAGTTGTAAAGCAGGATAAGAATAGATCGTGGAACAAAATGATGAATTTTATACAAAATACCAATTTTAGGTGATATAGTTTCACAAATTTGTTCTATGTGTTCTTTCCAATTAAGGTACTTTGTAGACTCCCTCTATAGTTTTAAACAGCTCGTTTAGTGGCATCTGAAAATTTACAGAAATATTTCAATCCTTCAATTTACGAAGTTTGTAAATGTCTGTATATTGTCAACCATCAATTCCTGGGACTAGCATAAAACGAGCGATTGAATTAGAATTAAAGATGAGGACATTTATAAGGCAAAATGTAAAAAACTAAATGTTTTAGGTTGAGCTGGGTAATGTATTGAATTAATTTTTATACCTAGTGAAATAGAATGCATTTTAGCATAGTCCAACTACAGAGTTTATAAGGCAGATGCATGTGTTATGACAAGCTATAACTGAAAGCTGTATGATCATAGTTGTATCAGTTTGAAATTGTTGCAGTTTTGAACTAAACAGTTGCAAATTAACTGTTATGTTTTAATTTAACATCTTCTATTTATTTTCTAGGCTATTCCAATGATAGGGTTCTATCTGAATTGAAATGTGGCTATCCCGACACTTACATAGCTGATTTGAGGAAAACTGTGAACACATTCAAATATCATCTAGTGTTTGATATGAAGACCAGGAACATCTTAAATCCATATGATAATGATTCCTCTCGCAATGACATGCATTATGCTGGAGAGTATCCTTTC